TCTCCGGCCACCGCTGTCGCCCACGGCCGCACCATGGCCCTAAAGGCCGAGGGCGCCGCACTCGACTGCTTCGAGGTGACGCTCAAATGCGAGGAAGGGGAGGACGAGGAGGAGGCCATGGTGGTGGCCGTAATTCCGCGGCCCGAGCCGATGCTCAGAGGTGAGGATGGAGGGGATCCCACTTCCGCGTCACGGTGCGGGGCCGGGGCCGTCCCTCCCTAGTCGGGTCCGCGACCCGGGCACCTTCTCATCCCCTTCATCCTGGGGCCCAGGCTTCCCTCTCGGATCTGGGTCCAGGACGCGCTCTTGCACCTCCCCCACCATGGTTTGGAAGCTCGGGCCTCCTCGATTTTCCCCTCCCTCCCCCTTTCCCCCGCCCAGGGTCTGGAGACTTCGATCCACGCCCCGCACGCTCCGGATCTTCCGGTGCCCAGGCGCCCCCTCTCCCGGGCCCAGCACCGGAGGCCGGATCCCCAGAGGCGCTGGGTGATTGAGGCCGTCGTCTCACGCAAGCACAACGGCCGGGCTGTGTTCTAGGCCGAGGGGCGGCGAAGCCTATAGGCCCGAGGCTACAGGCGGGCGCCGCTGCCGACCTCCAGGAGAATTTTAAGGACTCCCCGAGCATGACTCTTTCCTGCCCACCACCCCGCTTCATCCCCATTCCCGGGCCTTCCACTTGCAGGAGCCACAGGTGTCAGGTTCTGGAGAGAAGGGATGAATGGGACTGCATACAACAGCTAGTTTGGAAAAGCAGTGCAGTGCTAGAATGAGATTAGCTTTGGGAGGGGATGGGAAGAACAGTCTGAGAACACTCGCTCTCCCCTCCCCCTTCACCGATTTCTAGTCCTCAGGAACTTGCAAACCTTAAGAAAACAAAGAGCCATCTTTGTGGGAGACTTAATATGCATGAAAATGCAAATATCTTTCCATTCTCCCACCCGCCTTTTCTTTGGGGGGACAGTACCCAGAAGAGGTTGAGAGCAGCAAGGCCATTCATTGAACCTCAACCGAACAGAATGATGTCTGTCTGCACTGCCTCTCATCCTTTTTGGAACTGGAAGGGTTATAAAATTCATGAGGGAAATAAAGGTCACCTCCCTTCTCGGAGCATGTAGTCCAAAAGACAGGTTGTTTTCCTACTTCTGCTAATATTTGCTGAGTGTTCACTGGGCATTGTCAGAGGCTGTCTCAGTTAATCCTCTCAACCCTGCAAGGGTGGCCTTACCCCCACTGTTAGGGCGGGAATAGACAGGTGAATTCATTCAACCAATATTCACTGGACGTCCACTTTAGGCTGTTTAGGCTAGTGTGTTTAGGCTGGGAAGTAGTAGCAGTAAACGGAGCAGCTGAAACCTTACTCTTGAAGAACATATATATACCAATGGCTAAAGACAGAGAAATAGGTTCATGTATAGTATGTTGGGTGGCAATAAATGGTTCAGAGATGACTAAAGCAGGACAAGGAGAAAGGGGGAATGGGTGTTTAATTGGATATATCGAGTGTTTCAGAACGTATTCTCTAATAAGGTGAATTTTGAGCACAGACCCAAAGGAAGTGAGGATGCCAACCTTGCAGATATCTGCAGGAAGAGCATTTCAGGCCGAATAGCAAGTGCAAAGGTCCGGCAGCACAAGCTGCTGGAAAGATTTCAGTGGAGAGTGGAAGAAAGATTGAATTCAAGGTTTTTGGCCTGAGCAACTGGAGGAACAGCCTTCCCATTTTCTGAGATGGGGAAGGCTGCGGTGCTCATGGGAAACTGGGAATGAAAGTTTGAATATAATTAAGTTTGAGATGCCTATTTATGACATATTCAAGTGGAGAGGTCAACTAAGCAGTCAGATACATGAGCCTAGATTTCCTGGGAGTATCTGGCTAGTGGCGTAAACGGAAATTGCCAGCAGGCAGACAGTGGGATGAGAGGGAAGTAGAGAAGTGTGTAAGAACTGAGTCCTGGGAAACTCCAGTGATGGCAGGTTGGAGACCGAGTCAGTCCCTCATCACACATTACTAAATGTCACTGCATGCCGGGAGATACAGATACAGATGCCAGAGATACGGATGTAAAACATCAGAAATCTGTGTGGTCATGGATTCTCTCTCTTTTTTTTTTTTTTTTGAGACGGAGTTTCTCTCTTTTTGCTCAAGCTGGAGTGCAATGGCACAATCTCGGCTCACCACAACCTCTACCTCCCGGGTTCAAGTGATTCTCCTGCGTCAGCCTCCCGAGTAACTGGGATTACAGTCATGCGCTACCACACCCAGCTAATTTTGTATTTTTAGTAGAGATGGGGTTTCTCCCTGTGGCTCAGGCTGGTCTCGAACTTGCAACCTCAGGTGATCCGCCTGCCTCGGCCTCCCAAAGTGCTGGGATTCAGGTGTGAGCCACTGCACCTGGCCATGGTCATGGATTCTATGGTGTGGTGAGGAGACAAGCAGTGAACATCCCAAAAACAAGTATCAGGTGGTGATGTGTGCTGTGTTGGAGATGATCCATAAGGGGAATGGGGTGCTCTGGTGAGGGGAGATGGTTCTTCAGCAACAACCCAGAGGAAGAGAGGGAATATTGAGAAGAGATGAGGAAGAACCAGCACACGTAACTGAGAAAGAGTGCCAGGGAAGCAAAAGAAGAACCAACAGAAGGTCATGCCCTAGACGCAAGTGATGAAAATCAAGATGGAAGAAGTGATGGGCAGAGGATGAAGTTGAGAAACTGAGCCCAGAGTTTAGCGCTGCTGACTTGGGTGAGAGCTGTTTTGGAGGACTGGTAGGGAAGAAAGCCGATTGCACCTGAGAGGTCAGGTTTTCTGCCCATGGTCGCATGAGAGTTAGGTAGAAGGCGTATCTCGTATCTCTTTCAGACACCACCTCTTGTATCCATGCAAGCCGAGGCTCCTATTTCTAATACCACCTCTTCCATGCAGCCCCCAGGTATTAGAGCCTCCTGTGTTTTAATTTTGTCCCATCCTCTCTGGAGGGTAGGAGAGAGATGCAGCCATGAAGGATCATGGACACTTCGTAAAAGCACTGAGCTTCCAGGCTGATGCAGGTCTAAGGCTGCCTTCCTTGCTGAACTGGAAAGGGCTGATGCTCTGTGAGAGCTTATGGTCTGTGTGCACAAAGAGCAGGTATCAGGCAGCAATTGGAGTGGAACCATGGCTGTAAATGCTCTGTGAGCACTGAGAAGGGAGGCTAGTTCTGAGTGGACGGGGTGGCCTTTAGAACGGGCACGGTGGCTCATGCCTATAATCCCAGCACTTTGGGAGGTTGAAGCAGGAGGATTGCTTGAGCCCAGGAGTTCAAGACCAGCCTGGGCAAGGGAGCAACACCCCATCTGTTAAACAAAATTTTTGTTGTTGTGAATTAGCTGGGTGTGATAGCATGCATCTGTCTGTAGCCCTAGCCAGTCAGGTGCCTAAGGCTGGAGGGTCCCTTGAGTCCAGGAGTTCAAGGCAGCAGTAAGCTATGATAACACCACTGTACTACAACCTGGGTGACAAAATGAGTCCCCCATCTCTTTAAAAAAAAAAAAAATTATCAGCCAGGCGTGTTGGCACTCACCTGTAGTCCCAGGTGCTTGGAGGACTGAGGCAGGAGGATCGCTTGAACCCAGGAGGTCAAGGCTGCAATGAGTTGAGATTGCACCATTGCACTCCAGCCTGGGTGACAAAGTGAGACTCTGTCTCAAAATAAATAACATTTAAAAATTAAAAGAATTTACCTTCCTCACCCTCAAGAAAGCGTAGAAGTCAGATGTGGATGAAATCTATTGTCAGGGATTGGGTTTCCGGAAAGCTTCGCAGGGACAACGTTGCCCAGCCAAATCGGTGGTCTGGACAGATGTGCAAAAGCTGGAGACCTGCAAGAACGCAGCCTGTTGGGAAAGTATGTGTAGTCCTAACGTCCAAGACTAGATCAAGAGGAAGTACAGACGCGAGGGTCGTGGGATCCCAGGCACATTGGCTGTGTTGAGTGTGGTGTGTGCCTCGTGGGCTCCAGGGGAAGGAAGAAGAACACTTTGGACAGAAATGCTCTCCTCCCCCATCCCACTCAAACCACCGAGTCTAGAGACGTGCTAAGTGCTGTTGGTTGTGGGCACCTTTCGTGATTACACCCTTCCCCTCTCCCCTCGCAGTGACCCAACAGGAGAAGACCCCACCACCTAGACCCAGCCCGCTGGAGGCAGGCAGTGATGGCTGTGAGGAGCCCAAGCAGCAAGTGTCTTGGGAGCAGGAGTTCCTGGTGGGCAGCAGCCCAGGAGGCAGCGGGCGGGCGCTGTGCATGGTGTGTGGCGCTGAGATCCGGGCACCCTCGGCCGACACGGCTCGCACACACATCTTGGAGCAGCACCCTCACACCTTGGACCTGAGCCCTTCTGAGAAGAGCAACATCCTGGAGGCCTGGAGTGAAGGGGTAGCCCTCTTGCAAGACGTGAGAGCTGAGCAGCCGTCCCCACCCAACTCAGGTAGTTGGGCCTGGGGTGGGCCAAGGGAGAAGTCGGATTTGTTGGGGCACTGGAAGCTCATTGTGCTCTTGCTCCCTGCAGACTCAGGCCAGGATGCCCATCCAGACCCAGACTCCAACCCAGACCCTGCCAGAATGCCAGCCGAAATCGTCGTTCTCCTTGACTCTGAGGATAACCCATCCCTCCCTAAAAGGAGCCGGCCCAGGGGACTCCGTCCCCTCGAGCTTCCTGGTTAGTCAGCAGAAAAGCCAGTGAGCCCCGGTGGAGGTGGGGGTTTGGGGACAGGGTGGAATACAGGCCCTGTGTTCTGGGCAAGTATCTTCCCCTGGGGCGGCAGGGTTTGGGGATGGCCTCCTAAAAAGGGTATGAGGTCTTTTCTTTTTGCAGCTGTCCCTGCCACAGAGCCAGGAAATAAGAAGCCCCGTGGTCAGAGATGGAAGGAGCCCCTGGGGGAAGAGCCAGTCAGAAAGAAAAGAGGCAGACCGATGACCAAAAACCTGGACCCTGACCCAGGTGAAGGGGAGGCCCGGGGGAGGCATGGGCTCTGGCGGGTGCTCTGAGGAGATCCGCGTCAGTGAGGATGGAGCAGGGCTCGGGCGCAGGGCGCCTGCAGCTCCTGAGGCTTTTTCACTCACAGTTCCATCCTGTCCTCCCTTCCAGAGCCCCCATCGCCAGACTCACCCACAGAGACTTTCGCAGCACCAGCCGAGGTCCGACACTTCACTGATGGCAGCTTCCCCGCCGGCTTCGTCCTGCAGCTCTTCTCCCACACCCAGCTCAGGGGCCCAGACAGCAAGGACTCACCCAAAGACAGGGAAGAGGCAGAAGGAGGCCTTCCCCAGGCAGAGAGCCCCTCTCCAGGTGAGCCCTCCTGAGAGGGAAGCACAGTGGAGGCCTCTCAGGCAGCGCTCCTGGGCCGGGCCTCCACGAGGCTGCTCTGTGGCAGAGCCCAGGGTAGGGGTGGGTGGTGCCCAGGTTTCCTGGGGCACGGGGCCGGGACAGGGGGATCTGAATGATGAGGGAGGCTGGCCCGAAAGCTGAGCTTTTCTTTTTTTGTTTGTTTTTTGAGACGGAATCTTGCTCTGTTGTCCAGGCTGGCGTGTAGTGGTACAAGCCCAGCTCACTACAATCTCTGCCTCCCAGGTTCAAGCAATTCTCCTGCCTCACCCTCCCTTGTAGCTGGGATTACAGGTGTGCGCCACCACGCCTGGCTAAATTTTCTACTTTTAGTAGAGACAGGGTTTTGCCATGTTGGCCAGGCTGGTCTCAGACTCCTGACCTCAGGTGATCCACCTGCCTCAGCCTCCCAAAGTGCTAGGATTACAGGTGTGAGCCACCACACCTGGCCAGGTGGGCTTTTCTTAATGTTTCCTTGTTTCCTGGAATTGGTCATTGGATTTCCAATGACCAAGGCCAGTGTTTCCCAGGAGACTGATACTGATATCCATACATGCAGTTTGTTCTAGCTAGAGCCTGAGGGGTGCCCACCTTACCTTGGTGGTGCTGAGGCCCAGATGGGGCCACTCAACAATTCAGTTAGATGTCCAGGGAATAGACGAGATGAGCAGTGGACAGACACCTCCAGGGGACACCAGCTCAGTAAATTGCCTCATAATAGCAGTAAGTGCTTGTGTTGTTTGGTGTCCTACTGAGTTTAAGAAGCTTACATACAAGGCCAGGCGTGGTGGCTCACGCCTGGAATCCCAGCACTTTGGGAGGCTGAGGTGGGCAGAGGCGGGCACATCACCAGGCATGGTGGCAGGCACCTCTAATCTCAGTTACTTGGAAGGCTAAGGCAGGAGAATCGCTTGAACCTGGGAGGTAGAAGTTGCAGTGAGATTGTGCCACTGCATTCAGGGCAACAGAGTGAAAGTCTGTCTCCAAAAAAAAAAAAAAAAAAAGAAGTTACATATAGTTACATATAGTTGATTTGGCCCTTACAAAAATAGCTTGTATAGAAAGGCAGATGTCCATTCCTTTTTCCAAAAGGGAAAACCATTTCTCAAAGAAATGGTTCCTTCTTCCCCATGGTCCTTATGTCAGTTTCCTATTTGCTGCTGTAACAAATCACACAAATGTAGTGGCTTAAAACAACACACATGGCTTGTGCCGGTAGTCCCAGCCACTTGGGAGGCTGAGACAGGAAGATTATTTCAGCCCAGGAGTTCAAGGCTGCAATGAGCTACAATCACACCACTGCACTCCAGCCTGGACGACAGAATGAGACCCTCCCTAAAATCAAAACAAAACACAAATTTATTTCACAATTCTGGAGGTCAGAGGTCCAAAATGGGTCTCACTGAGCTAAAATCGAAGGTGTTGGCAGGGCTGTGTTCTTTCCTGGAAGCTCTAGGGGAAAATCTATTTTCTTGCCTTGCCCAGCTCCTAGAGGCTGCCTGCATTTCTTGGCTTGTGGCCTCCTTCCATCTTCAAAGCCAGCAGAGGCTAGTAGAGTCTTTCTCAGATACTGCCCTGGGTTCCGGCTTATCGGCGTCTTCCCCATTCAAGGACCCTCATGATTATATTGGGCTCACTCAGATAGTCCAGGATAATCTCTTTTTTAGTCCGCTGATGAGCAACCTTAATTTCATCTGTAGCCTTCATTCCCCTTTGCCATGTAACAAAACATTCACAGGTTCCAGGGATTAGAACATGAACATCTGGTGGGGGGTGAGGGGCATCGTTCTGCCAACCACACGTGACCCAGCAGACAGAATTAGGATGAGCCTGGAATGTAGTCCAGCAGGGCAGAGACCGAGCCTAGTCGCCTGTTCACCTCTCCATGCCAAGCATAGTTTATAGGCGGTCAGGAAATGCTTCTTGAAGAAGTGAGTGAGTCAGGGGTGCATGTCTCCTTGTACCAACTTGTCTGAAATGTGTGTTTGGAACTAGAGCCATAGATGATGGCCAACGAGGTGGCTGGAGGCTCTCCTGAGAATAGGGCTCTCGAAAAGCAGTTGTGCTTTTGTTTTTGTTTTTGTTTTTGTTTTTGTTTTTTGAGATAGAGACCCTGCCCAGGCTGGAGTACAGTGGCGCCATCATAGCTCACTGCAGCCTCAAACTCCCAGGCTCAAACTATCCTCCTGCCAGAGCCTCTGAGTAGCTGGGTCCACAGGCTTGCATCTCCGCACCAGGCTAATTTTTAAATTTTTTGTAGAGACAGGTTTTCCCTGTGTTGCCCAAGCTGGTCTCCAACTCCTGGGCACAAGCAATCCTCCAACCTGGGCCTCCCAAAGTTCTGGGATGACAGGTGTGCTTTTTTGCATAAAGAAAAAAGCCTTGGCTAGGCACAGTGGCTCACACCTGTCATTCCCAGCACTTTGGGATGATGCCAAAGTGGGAAGATTGCCTGAGGCTAGGCATTCGAGACCAACCTGAGCAACATAAGGAGACTCCATCTCTATAGAAAAATTTTAAAATTAACTGGACATGTTGGTGTGCACCTCTAGTCCCTACTAAGGCTAGAGCCTAAGGCAAGAGGATCACTTGAGCCCAGGAATTTGAGGCTGCAATAAATTCTGATTGTACTCCAGTCAGATTGTACCACTGTACTCCAGCCTGGGCAACACAGCTAGACGGTCTCAAAAAAAAAAACAAAAAAAAAAAGTCAGCGTATTATACACTCCTTTAGTCACACTCCACTCACCCCTCACAAGGTTTTTCTTTGTGTTCACTGCTATAATACTCTTAATTTGGTTGGTATCCTTCAGAGAGAGCTCTCTGTGTGTTCGCATGTGTGCATAGTTGCTTTTATTTATTTGCCTAAATTTGGGCCCCCCTTTTTCTGATCTCGAGGCAGGCCTCACCCCTTCACATAGATCACAGTTTTAACTGTCTCAAGTTTCAGCTTGAGTCACATTCCATTCCTGGCTCCCTGAGACCGTGTGTGCTGCTTGGACTTGAACGTGTCCCGAGTCTCCTGGTTCTCTCCGGTGGATCCCTGCTCTAAATGGCTGACCTCTTCCACTGTCTAATGGGTCTTCTGGTTTCATTCTCGAAAGGGAGCCTTCATTTCGAGTCCTGGGGTACCCTGTGCGCAAACTCCACCTATCTGGAGTGGTGAGTAGATGAGAAGAGAATCCCTGAGATTGTAGGTTTCTTTGGGGTGAGTGGGCAAAGTCTGAGAGGAAGGGGCTTCAGCAGGCTGCTTGAGTGATCTGAGAGGGGCAGAGGCGATTGTCGGGTGTTGTCAGCAGTGGCAGCCTTCATGGAGGCTGGAGATGCTTGGGAAACCACAGAAGAGACCTAAGTGATTGACAAGTGTTCTGGAGGCTGTGCCTAAGGGAAGCACCCTGGGAGATGGCGAGAGTGAGACAGCCTTTGTCCTCCAAAACTCTGTGTCCAGGAGTTTAGGCTGGAGGCAGTAAATCTTTAAAAACCACGGCCCCCATGGCGGTTCTTTGCAGAGCAGAGGCTCTGGACCTGTGGTTTCAGACGGTCTCGCGAACCCAAAGCTTGGACAGATTTCTCAGAAACCTGTGAGGCTTCGACCAGAATGTCTCTACTTTCTGTGTTGTTATGTACGTATTGAAGTTCTCTGAAGACTTTATTTAAATAAAGATCCTGACACTTTAAAAAACATTAGAGGTGTAAAAATCATGGATTTAACAGTTGGCAAAGGCCACCCATGGTCAGGTTAGCTGAGCTGATGAATGTGAATGTGAGGTGGTCCGGGAAGACTAGAACCTTCTAAGGACCTTGCCGGAGAAGGATGGGGACAGTATCCAGGCCAGGAGAGGAGGTGGGCCACAGTGACCCACTGACAAGTAATGGAAAGAGGAGCCTCTCTGTCTCGCTGGTGTTTTTTTGAGACGGAGTCTCACTCTGTCACCCAGGCTGGAGTGCAGTGGCGCGATGTCGGCTCACTGCAAGCTCCACCTCCCGGGTTCACGCCATTCTCCTGCCTCAGCCTCCCAAGTAGCTGGGACTACAGGCGCCCACCACCACACCCGGCTAATTTTTTGTATTTTTAGTAGAGATGGGGTTTCACCATGTTAGCCAGGATGGTCTCTATCTCCTGACCTCGTGATCCGCCCTCCTCGGCCTCCCAAAGTGCTGGGATTACAGGAATGAGCCACCGCGCGTGGCCCTCACTGATGTTAGTTTGAGTAGAACCTAGGGATCTGGCTTAGGATACCTTGGCCAGATCCTGTGTTGCAGGCTGGACCAGGGAGGTAGCGGAGTGAGAGAGCGAGCATGCGTGTACATAAGTGTGAGTGTGAGTTTCACAGGGGTGTGTGTTTGTTTTTTGAGACGGAGTCTCTGTCACCCAGGCTGGAGTGCAATGGTGCAATCTAGCCTCACTGCAACCTCCGCCTCCCAGGTTCAAGTGATTCTCCTGCCTTATAGGCGCCCGCCACCACACCCGGCTAATTTTTGTATTTTTAGTAGAGACGGGGTTTCACCATGTTGGCCCGGCTGGTCTTGAGCTTCTGACCTCAAATGATCTGCCCACCTCAGCCTCCCAAAGTGCTGGGATTACAGGCGTGAGCCATTACACCTGGCAGCCTGGTGTATTTCCACTCTGCCCACTCAGAACCTTGCCTGCGAGCAGTGTCCCCTGCCCCCAACTCCCCTCCCTCCAGCACCCAGGCTGAATTCCATGCCTTCTCTCTAGCTCATGTAACTGAACTGCTCCTAGCAAAAGCTAGCCCCTGTCCTCATCACTAAAGCTCATCCTACCTCCCCCTTGTCACACTGCCCCTGGGTCTTCCCTGTCAGCCTACACAAAGTTATTATTTCTTCCTTCTTAGCCCCTTGTCCCTGTAGCCACTGTCTCATTTGTTCCTGTACCTTTTCAGTAAAGCCGGACTGTGTTTTCTATAGCAGCTGCCTCCCATCTCTCTGGCATTCATCCTCAGCACTCCACACGAAAATTGCTCCTTTGGCAAGGTCGCCGTTGACTTCCATAAAATTCAATAGTCTGTTCTTGTTCCTTCTCTTTTTTTTTTTCCTGAGACGGAGTCTAGCTCTGTTGCCCAGGCTGGAGTGCAGTGGCATGATCTCGGCTCACTGCAACCTCCACCTCCTAGTTTCACATGATTCTCCTGCCTCAGCCTCCCAAGTAGTTGGGATTACAGGTGCCTGCCACCACGCCCAGCTAATTTTTGTATTTTTAGTAGAGACGAGGTTTCACTGTGTTGGCCAGGCTGGTCTCAAACTCCTGACCTTGTGATCCACCTGCCTCGATCTCCCAAAGTGCTGGGATTACAGGCGTGAGCCACCGTGCCTGGCAGTCCTTTTTTTTTTTTTTCTTTGAGATGGAGTTTCGTTCTTGTCGCCCAGGCCAGAGTGCAGTGGTGCGATCTCAGCTCACTGCAACCTCCACTTCCTGGGTTCAAGCGATTCTCCTGCCTCAGCCTTCCGAGTAGCTGGGATTACAGGCATGCGCCACCGCACCCAGCTAATTTTGTATTTTTAGTAGAGACAGGGTTTCATCATGTTGGTCAGGCTAGTCTCAAACTCCTGAATTCAGGTGATCCGCCCGCCTCGGCCTCCCAGAGTGCTGGGATTACAGGCATGAGCTACCGTGCCTGGCCGGTCCTTCTCTTTCTGATCTGGCGGTTACAGTGGGCCGATCACTCCTTCCTGGAGACAGCTTTCTTCCCTTGGCTTTTCAGGCAGCTGTTCGCCTGGTGTTCTTCTTCCCTCACTAGCTGTTCCTTCTCAGTTTCTCTTGCCGCTCCTTCTCAGTTCCCAGAGTTGGAACATGTCATATCGTTGTCTGCCTTTCCCTTTCTAGAATGTAAAGGCCTGCAGGTTACGGTGTTTGCTTCCTGCACTGTGATATGCACAGTAGCCAGAACAGTGCCTGGCACAGCATAGGCCCAGCTTATGTGTTTGGTGAATGAGTAAGTGCTTAAGTATCCCCAGCCATAGGTCAGTGTCCGTACGCGCTCCCTGGGAGATCTCATCCAGGTTCACAGCTTTCGATGCCATGTGTGTGCTCATAATGCCCACCTTGGCTGCTCCTTCCTGGTTCCATCCTCTTTTCCAGTTGCCCAGGTGACGTCTCTACATGGTTGTCTAAAAGATCTCAAACATTGTGCCACTGCACTCCCGCCTGGCGACAGAGTGAGACTCTGTCTCAAAAAAAAAAAAAAAAATCTCGGCACATTGAAACGGAACCCCCAGTCTCCCCAATGCACCCCACCCACAGACTCCACAGTCTTCCCTTTCCCAGTGAACAGGCAGCCCCAGGCTTCAGTTTGCTGTGGCCACACCCACACAGTCATCCTCTTCTTTCTCCAACCCAGCATCTGTCCAGCAGTCGATCCTCCAAAACAAGTTCAGAGCTCACACTGCTGTCACCACATCCACTGCCACTGCCCTAGTCAGGGCCTGCTCTCACCTGGTTCCTGTAACAAACCTAAGCCAGGTCTCCTGGCTGCTGAGCTTTGCCCGCTATCCTCTGCTCTCCTGTAGCAGCCAGAGTGTCCCTACTGAGAACACAAGTCAGATCCAGTCACTCCTCTACTCACGGCCTTCCTGTGCTGCTCCTGTTGCACTCCAGATAAAAGCCAGAGCCTTCATGGTGACCAGTGCGCTCCCCCCAGGCTCCTGACCTCTACCCCACACCCCACTCCCTGCACAGGCGCTGGCCTTGCTGTTCCTGGGGAAGCCAGCGTGCTCCACCAGGGGGTCCACATTTGCTCTTCCCTGTGCTCAAAATATTGTTTCTTCACCCATCTGCCCAGCTGGCTTCTCACTCCCTCTGTGTCTCCAGTCCCCTGTCAGCTCTCTGCTATCCTATCTCCTTTCCCTGGTGTACTTTGCTACTTTGCGTCTGTCCATATATAACATACTGCATTTTTTATTTGTTTATCCTATTTATTGGCTCTGATAACTAGAATGTGAAGTCCCAGAAGGCCACTTAGGCAGCTCCATTCACCGCTGTACCCCTGGCAATCCAAACAGCCTTGGGCAGATAGTGCTCAATGAATTATTGTCGAATTAATGAACAAATAGGATTCAGTGTTCCTTCAGGGAGCATATAGTTTATCGGGGAGACAAACCAGCTTCTGGGAACACAGAATAGAATTTGGTAGGTGTTAAAAATTCAGTGGCAGCCACTAAGTCATTTTAAATTCCAGCACATTGCACAGCAAAATTGTACCTGTTTTCTCTGCCACATTGTAAATAATCGTGTCTCTAAAAACAGGGTAGAAAAGGAACACACACAAATGAATCCTTCCCAATATAGACAGTGCAGTAGTTGAAATCACCATTTTCTGTTTTTGCCTTTCAATGTAATGTAACTTTTTTTTTTTTTTTTTTTTTGAGACAGTCTTGCTCTGTCTTCCAGGCTGGAGTGCAGTGGCGTGATCTTGGCTCACTGCAACCTCTGCCTCCTGGGTTCACACAATTCTCCCGCCTCAGCCTCCCGAGTAGCTGGGATTAGAGGGGTGCACCACTATGCCTGCCTGATTTCTTTGTATTTTAGTAGATAAAGGGGTTTCTCTGTGTTGGCCAGACTGGTCTCAATCTCCTGACCTCAAGTGATCTGCTCACCTTCGGCTCCCAAAGTGCTGGGATTACAAGCAGGAGCCACCACGCCCAGCCCTATTGTAACGTAACTTTTGCACACATCCCTATTGCATGCTTGGTTTTTATGGCTGCGGCAGCCACGGCAGTCCTCAGTCCTCTTTCGTCTGCCTCGAGGCCAGTGAGTGCCTTCTCCATACTGCTAAGGTGGACGCCTGATCTTGGTGATGTCGGTGTTGACACTCAGGAGATGAAGAGCCTGGTGGAAGTTCACCAGGGGTCTTTTCTCCACCCTGCGTAGTCCCTCGTGAACTCCTTGGTGGGCACAGCTATGCCTCAGATTTGTTCTGGGTGTTCCCACCGCATCACCTCTGCCCCACTCAGGCAGAACGCGTTAGGCTAGGATGCCCAGTAAGTTTGAGATAAAATGGAGTGGGCTGCAGGTAGGAGTTATGGGGAGAGGCACGCAGCACCAGGCACCCTGTGCCGAAATACACGCAGGAGGAAGGCTGCCTGGCTTCATGTGGCTTATCCCTAGAGAGGCTGTGAGCCTCATTTTCTAGCCGGTGGCGGTCCTTGATCACCCAGGAGTGGAGCTTCCTGCCATCCTTGGACTTCCCCTCATGCCAGGCACTGGGCTGTGGACATAATGAAAGCCCTGGAAATGGGGGTACAGTTTGCAGCACTTCCAGGGAGCATCCTCGTGGTGGGGTGTCTGGGAGGCTCTGACTGCTCTCTGCTCTCATCCCTGCCCAGCTCCCCCTCCGGGGCTCCGCGGGACACTGGATCTCCAGGTTATCCGCGTGCGGATGGAGGAGCCCCCAGCGGTCAGCCTCCTGCAAGACTGGTCCAGGCACCCCCAGGGCACCAAGCGTGTGGGAGCAGGTGACACCTCAGACTGGCCCACGGTTCTGTCAGAATCCAGCACCACTGTGGCAGGGAAGCCAGAGAAAGGGAATGGGGTGTAAATTCTTGCTTTCCTGGGGAGGGAGGGAGCGGGGGAGGGAGGAGGCAGCGTCCCCCTGTGGCTTATAACTCAGAGCTGCCTGGCTCACCCATCTGGTGGAGAGAGTAGAAACAAGTGCCAGGGCAGGAGGGGGCTGGGGCAACATCCACTGTTATTTCGGGGCACTGAAAAGTGTCTGTTCCTGGCCAGGCCTGAGGTCGGCAAGGGTGGTTGAGGCTGTTGTGCAGTAGGGCACTGGGCCTGTGGAGAACACCTACCCCAGTCCTTCGCTGACCCCCACCTCTCTGTCCCCCGTGACCTCCTCCCACCCTCCCCCAGCTCCCCACCATTCTCCCTTGGCACAGTGCCTTACACAAGAGTGGTCATAAGGGGGTTTGAACTGAGTCCCACTACCTCGGGGGACACCTCCCCTCCCCACTTGTTCAGGCTCCTAAACCAGGAGGCCTCCATTACCTCTTCCTGTCCCACCCCTGCAGAGGCCTGAAGCTGGGCCTG